TCCATATGTTTCTGCATTTGATTCTTTAGTGCAGATGTAATTAATTCAGGGATTTCTTTTTTATTTCCAATCTGAGGTTCTCTATACCTTTCTGCAGCTATTTCTTTATTTCAGAAGCCTTTGATTCGTTGCTTTCAGCTGGGTGATTCCCAATTTGTTCTTTGTTATAGTCCTCTGCACTTGTTACGGGTGGGCTTGGGTTCTGAGGTTGCATTTTGTTCCTTCTCTTCATTTTGTGGAGCACTGTCTTCTGACCTTTGTTGTAGATCTTTAAAGTAGTTATAACCTCCGCACGTACTGAAGTTCAGGTGCAGCTCTACAACGTTTGGACTTATCCAGCTGTGTCTGACTTGGGTCTGGCTGCTGTGCTCAGCTCCTTCCCGCTGCTGCCCTTGAGGGTGAACCTGTTGTGCCCCTGTGCCAAGATGTACTGCTCCTGGACTAGCTGGTTGGATCTATCCTCTACACTCTCTGCAGGGATTGCAGCTCCAGGGTTACACCCCAGGCGTGTATACCCCACATGAGCTGTTCCTGGAGGGGCAAGGTGAAGTAGGGTGAAGAGGAAGCTCTCCCACACACTCACAGTACCTGAGCTAAGACTGGGTCTGGGGGTTCCCGGAAAGTGGCAGAAATTCCTACTCGGTGGGCGGGGTGGGGAGGTGCTAAGGAATGTTGGGAGTCGTCCCAAGGGGTGGGAGATGGTCTGGCCCACGCTGCGCCTAGGCTGGGACTGGTCCCACTGGCGCAGGTTAGCAGGAAGCTCTCCCACACACTCACCAGACCTGGGCTAGGACTGGGTCTGAAGATTTTATTATTCTCTTGAGCAATTTGAAAGTGTTTTATATTGGTAAAGTTCAAACTGTTGAAAATGAATTAAACAATTGCTTAAATTTCAGAGAAATAACATGAAAAAACAATTTTGTAATTCATCTCAATACTTTAACATATAATTGAAGTTATATGAACTATTATAGGCTGATCAATGGTTTTTCTTTAAATATCAGAATATATTTTATAATAAATAGATTTTTAGAAAATATCATTTACAGGTACATGAAATACAAGATCATTTTGTCATCTATATTTTGCAGCAGTTTGTAATCTACAAATCTGAGACAGCTAGAAAATCACATTAATATTTTAGGATTTCTTATCCTGTGTACATGTTAGGAAACCTTAACTTACTGAATAAGTCAATGTAGGTACAAGGGAAAATAAAACAGTGGATTTTGAAAAATAAAGGTGAGACAAAATATGAGGATACTCTTTTATTTTAACAGTTTCATTGCCTAGGTGGTGTGGAAGCACAGCAGAAAAATCTGTAACACAGCCATAAGTAAAAAGTGTTGCAACAGAAAAAGCCCTGAAATACTCTGGAGAATGTGAAGTGGAGCTGCCTATGTATGTGGGAAAAGTACACATTAGGATGAATCCATGTATTTTGATGATGACTTAGTGTTGGTTGACAGTGATTAAGGAGCTATTATTTGTGAACAAGAATTTTCCATGCTTTTCTTCTCACATATATGCTCTATGCTTAATCTCCATGAAGATGAAGAAAAACAGAAGATTTTCCAGTTTTATTAATATGCAACACATATTTCTATTTGAAGTCAGCATTGGGATCATTGCCAACACTTTCTTGCTTCTCTTTCATATCCTCACCTTCCTCCTGGAGCACAGACTCAAGTCCACTGATCTGGTCATTGGTCACTTGGCTTTTATCCACATACTGATGCTGCTAACTGTGGGATTCATCGCTATGGATATATTTGGGTTTCATGATTTAGGGAATGGTATCACATGCAAATACATTCTCTATTATTACAGAGTGATGAGAGGTCTCTCCATCTCCACCACCTGCCTGCTGAGTGTCATCCAGGCCATCACCCTTAGCCCAAGAAGCTCCTGTTTGGCAAAGTTCAAACAGAAATCCCTGCATCAGAACCTGTGTTGCTTCCTCTTTCTGTGGTTATTCAATATGCTCATCTGTGGTCGTTTCTTAATCTCCACTGTTGCTACTCCCAATGCGACCTTGCACAGTCTCATGTTTGTCACTCAGTCCTGCTCTCTTTTGCCCATTAGATCCTTCCTTAAGTACATATCTTTGTCACTGATGATCTTCAAGCATATGTCGTTTATAGGGCTCATGGCACTCTCAAGTGGGTACATGCTAATTCTGTTGTGCAGGCATAAAAGAAAATCCAAGCATCTTCACAGCCTTTATCAACCTCCAAAATCATCTCCTGAACAAAGGGCCACCTGGACTATTTTGTTGCTCATGAGTTTCTTTATTGTCATGTATATCTTAGACAGTGTTATTGAATACACCTCAGCAATGCTGTGGAACCATGGCCCAATTCTCCATGGCATCCAGATGCTGCTTGGCAATGGCTATGCTACATTCAGTCCCTTTGTGCTCATCAGTACAGAAAGGCGATTGATCAAGTGGTTCATATTTATGTGGGGTAAACATAGGAATTTTCTATTGTTTCGTGATGGGTAACTCCTCTGACAATTAGCAATTGAAGGAATTTCTGTGAAATCATTAAAAGATATGTAATTATGACTTTTCTGATAACTATATTTACTTGGACATATGTCTACATAAGTACATACTGCACAACTTGATAGTATATTCTCTGAGAAAGCAAAGGCTTCTAACTTTAATCTTACTGGTATAACTACAAATCTCATCTGGTTTTAAACTTTATAAAAAATATTAGGACCTGGAAGATAGTTCAGAGGGCTAAGGAGATAGCATAGAAGGCCAGGGAGATAGCTCAGTATAATAAGCACCTGCTTGTCAAGCACAAGGTCCTGAGTTCAATCCCTGGTACCAGAAAAGCAAACAAAAAAAGATGAATATTATAAGTATTCATCACTAGATTTTTAAAATAGAATAAGAGGCTAAGCAGAAAGAGTAGAAATGCATTATAAATGTGCAGGAAAATAGGATGTTATTGTGTTCATACTTTTATATGTACTATTAAATATTTACTGGTTTATATGTTTCATATTCACTTTTATTTCTTTTCTCTTACATCTCAAGAACCTCATTTAAAAAGAAATTAGAAAAAGAACAGAAACCTTACATTAAAAAAAATCTCTTGAGTGAAAAACATTAAATAGCTTCAGACCTTAGGATCTTGAGTGTATAAATAACTTTGCATAGGACATTTTTAACCATTGCTTTTGTGTGGAGTTAAATAACAGAAATTCCTTAAACTAAAATCATTGTGGTCTTAATTCTTTAGACATAATTTAATGACACCAGTACATAGCAACAGAAGAATAAAAGGTTTTTCTGTTGTCTTGCTAAATTTGTAGACTTTTTAAATTGCATGTATTATAAATACATAAAGAAGATAGATATATACCGATGAATGTCCATTTTGTATCTGTGTATTCAAAGTGGTTAGGATAGATATATAGTTGCATTCTCTGAATGAATAGAATGATTTGTTCTAATGGTGTT